GTCATTATCCATAATAATATTTATTCTGTTTCGGATTCATCCAGTGGGAGATTTTTCCTTTTGATTCCTGTATCCTCGTCAGTTTTTGAGCTCTTCCTTCTTGTCTTCCTCCTCCTTCTTCTCCTTCCCTCCTCCTCCTCCTTTTCCTCTTCTCCTTCCTCTTTTCCCTTTCTTCCCCTTCTTCCTCTTTCCCTTCCCTTTCCTCCCTCACTTCTCCTCCTCCTTTTCCCTCCTTCTCCTGTGCTCAGTTCTAACACAGTAAGATGCTCCAGGCACACATTGTACTTCCTCTGCACCAGCCCTGGGACCAGCAGCCTATTCATCAAGGAACTCTGTTTCCTGGCACAGAGAGGTGTATTAGAAACAAGATCTAAGCACAAGGTAAACTCACTGGATATTGTGGAAATATCACTGCTTCTAGACCCTTTATCAGACACAGATAGGATCTATAAATATTATAGAATAAATTCATATGACAACTTTAATTCTGGTCCAACACCATGAGATTCTTCCTCATCTTCCCTCCCACATTTGTATCCCCTTCCCACCTGCAACGTGACCCTTAATCTCAACACTGTTTCCATCATTGCACTTACAGAATTTGTATTTCTTGTCTGTCCCCTCACTGGAGTGTGACATCCCATGAGTCTGTGCTGTGGACCACTGTGTCTCCAGTGCTCTGATGAGTGCCGGGCACACAGTAGGCACTTAATATTTTTGTTGAATGAATGGTGACTTTTTCCTGATTGGTCCCAGGGAATTCTCCAAAGGATTCTGCCTGGGCCTTTCAGGCTCCCTACGCGTCCTCCGCTGGATGAGGGCCTCCCTCTGTGTTCCAGCTGCCGGTGCTCACCTGATCGTGCTGCTGTCCCTCGGGTCATTGTCTGTTTACTCATCTGACTCCCTGTTGTCAGCTCCATGGGTGCAGGGGCTGTGATTTATTTATCTTTGTTCCTGGAACTTGGCTTATGCCTCACACAGTAATAAAGGTGCTCCAGAAATATTTGTCGCATGAAAGAATGAATGATTTTGCCAGGAAGTGAAAGGAGCAGAATTTAAACCTGGGTCTCCAAAGTGCCTTCCTCTTTCCCCACGTGTTCCATTACTCCCCAGAGGAGGGGAAAGAGGACCTGGCCTTGAAGACTGGGTAGGACTGGTGAGAAGAGGGATCAGCACTCCAGGGTTAGGCGGGCAGTCACTAGCTTGACTGGCATCTACTTCTTTGCTTTTGTACCTTCTCTATTTCAGTTTCCTGGGTCGCAAGGTCTTTACTTTTATCTTCAGCTCTCCGTCTGTTTCACATCTACCGTAAAGTTAGACTCAGCGCAAACGATATTGGATGTCAGGAGGGGGCCAGAGTCCCGGGTTGGGTGTGCACTGGACCCCACTGGCCTGAAGCTCAGACTTGGCTATGTTGGCAACATGGTGTTTGACCTGACAGCTAATATGATTGATCTAATCTGGGCCCTGGCCTTTTAGCACCTGCCTTAACCTTGGTCCTGAGCTGCAGGCTGACTCAGTTCTAGCTTGGCTGTGATGGGTCAGGCCATATGGCCTCACTCCAAGCAGGAGAGACGGAAAAAGCGAACATCAGGTCCTGATACCTAATGGCAGCCACCTCAGACCCTTTTGGGAAGACACAAATCAATAAAAAAAAATACCTTCATCGTGTCTGCCAGTGCCATTAACCCCTTGGCTGGAGGTGGGTTGGGAAATGGGAAACCTGGATCCTAGTCTCCACTAGTAAGGCCTTGGATAGGCCACCCAGCAATCTGGGTCTCAAATGGGAAAGCAGGCTGAAAAGAAATCAGGCTTGGCTGGGGATGGGGTGGTCAGATTCTGCTCGAGTGGAGAGTTGGGGTCACCTCATGGCATACTTTTATTTTTGGTGGGGGGAGGTAAACAGGTTTACTTACATTTATTCTTAGAGGAGGTACTGGGGATTGAACCCAGAACCTCGTGCACGCTAAGCATGTGCTCTACCACTTGAGCTATAGCCTCCCCCTACCATGGTGTACTTTAAAGCAGTATATTTTGTCATCATATAATTGCTTGTGGCAGAAAAATCGTGGACAATAGCTAATGCACACATGCAGCCATTTAAGAAACGAGCTCTATTACATATTGTTAAGTTAAAAGAGCAAAAGTGTAAAACACACATGTACACAGAGACACACACACATATAACTTGTATACACACAGCTTATGTTTCTGGAAGGAGACACGAGAAACTGGTACCAGCGTTTTCCCAGGCAGAAAGGGAACTGGGTATCTGAGGGTCTGCAGTGAGACAGAATTGTTGCCATAAACTCTCTTGCCCGCAGGCGTGTCTCCCCTAGTCAATAAATGAATACAGTGAGGAAGGAATTATCAACACATTGTTCAAATGTGCATTTTCAAAACTTACCTCAGCTTAAATCTAATTCAAATCTATGTAATTATACACACACACACACACACACACACGTAGAGACAAAGCTTTATGTTTTATATATATATAGAGAGAGAATTTGTAGTTAGATATCTATGAATATATATGTAAATATACCTGTATATATATATGTATATGCCACTCTATGTAAATGTTTCACTGGAGAAATATGAGCAGCGGTCTACTCTGGTCTGAATGAGTTAAAAGTTCAACTCTGAGTGATTTCAAGGGCAAAAAATATATCTCCCAGCTCATTGCTGGATCCCCACCGCCCAGCGCAGTCCCTGCCCACAGTCGGAGCCCAGGCCGGACGAGAAGCCCACGGGTGAGCCCATCCCATCTTAGGTTGCATATTTTCAGACTTTTGTGTCTTCCTTTGTGTTTTACTAGGTTCATGTTTTAGTTTAGATAAAACATTGCTTTCATATTTTATCTTCCTTGATTCGCCAAACAAGCCTGGGAGGGGAGGGTTGTTATCTGCATGTTACAGAGAGAAAAAAAAAACAAAAAACATGAGGTTGAGACACTTGGGGCCGTGCCCAAGTTTGCACAGCTGTCCACTAAGAGGACTGATTACAACCAGTCTGAACAGCGATGACTGCCGTTTACTGGGCCTCTCCTGTGTGCCAGGCCCGCTCTTGGCATTGCATGTATAGTGTTATTTAATTTAGTCATCAGAAAAAGCCCTGTGGTGATAGAATGAGCCTTGTTTTATAGATGAAAGAAAACTAGACTCAGAGAAGTCAGGCAAATGAGGATGAAGTCAACTAGTCCAGGGTTAGAGCTGGGTCTCTAGTTTCTGTCTGTTGCTTTTTCTGCTGCACATGGCTCCTCCCTGAAGCTCTAGGGCAACCTTTAGGGACATCTGAGTCACCTTGAGGGCTTGTTAAAGCATCAGTTGCTGGGCCCCATCACCAGTGTTTTGGATCCTGTAGGTCCGGGAAGGAGAATTTGCATTTCAGAGGATGCCTCTGCTGCTGGTCTGGGACCTTGCTCTGGGAAGGGTGTTCTCAGCCCCTGCCCCCACCACTTCAGAGTCCTGCTCAGGCTCTGCTGGGCGAGTCCCCCAGGCAGAGCCTGGGCCTGAAGCTCACGTAGGACCCTCAGACAAGCAGGACTTAAGGCTCCCACCTCTGTCTCAAGTCTTTGTCTATGGCTGAGCCATTAGACTTTTTAGCTGAAAGCAAAAAAACCATCCCTGGTGTTTATAAGCAGAAAAGGAGTTTATCAGAAGGCCAGAGGGAGCTCCCAGAATCACTAGGAAGGCTGGAGAGCCAGGCTCAGGAAACAAGCCGGGTCAAGGCAACCGCAGTGTGGACAGGGACCAGAGCTCACTGCAGGTCTGGCCTGGAGAGGACATACGCACCACAGGCCCTGCAGGACACAGACACACAGCCAGGACCTCCAGCATCACTGGCCCCGGACGCTGGAGGCCGCTGCTGGCCCCGGGCTGGATGTACTTGTTGTTGCTTTGTTTGGCCTCGAACCAAAGTCTGAGGAGGGCAGTGGTCCTTCTGGATCAGGCTGGGTCATGTGCCCCCATCAGCTGCAAGGGATGCTGGGAAATTGAACTTTTGGCTTTAGGGTCTCCACTGAGAAAGATCACATGGAAAAACTGGAGGGAGCCACGGAGGAGGCACGGTGCCTGGCTGGAGGCTCCAGGAGAAGGATGATGGCAGTTAAGGAGGAGGAGGAGGCGGTGGAGATGGAGAGATGTGGGCGACCTTGAGACATATTCATGACACAGAATAGCAACACAACTTGGAAATAATCCCAAAGGAGAGGAGGAACAAAGGGCAGCAAAATTGGCTTGAGCAGCTGGGTGGATGTGGGTACCATACATTGGGATGGGGACCTCCAGGGAGGAACAGGTTTGAGACAAGGAGTTCCACTCTGAGCGTGTTAGGGTCAAGTGCCTGTGAGATGCCCAAGCAGAGAAGTCTGCCTGGCACTTGGATGTTTCAGGTTGGAGCCAGGCTGAGGCTATAAATGATATTTTAAACAAAATTTAAAGTTGTGGGAGGGGCTCATCCAGGGAGAGAAAGCAAGGAGAGAGGAGAAGTGGAATCTGGCTGAACCCTGAGGAACTTCAGAAGACTGGAAGAGGAGCAGCCAGCCGGACAGGAGGAGAGGACAGGGTATCAGGGAGCAGGGAGGGGTTGGCTGTGCGGATTTAACAACCAGGAGGTTAGAACAGGCTTGGTGGAGCTGGGGAAGCAGAAACCAGTCTGCAGTGGGTGAAGGTGAGGTTTGATCCCAAAGTGCTCAGGGAGGGGTGGGGGACGGTAGCCGAAGGGGGGCTCCAGGGCCAGTGGGAGGGTTGTTTTTTTTTAGTAGATTTTGTCATTTTTGTTAAATATTTTCCATTCTCCCCTTCTGTTCTATTGAAAGAGGAATGTGGGCTCAGGGCAAGAAGATGTCACACTGTGAGGTGGAGGGAATTCCTAGGATCTTTCATAACAAAGGAATTCAACAGTTCAGAAGGTTGGCACCAGTTGGTGACCCCCTTCCAGAGTCTCCTGTGTTGAAGGACCGGTCTGCCACTGGGGTGGGTTGGTTGGTTTCTCACCTGGGAGACACTGGAGCGCATCTGCGCAGTGAAGGGAATGGCTGGTGGGGAATCCTGGGTTCTCACCTGGGGCTTGGCCTATGGGAGGGTCAGGGTAGGGGAGCTGCCATCAGGGTTCCAGGTGTAGTGGCAAGGGGTGAGGTGAGCAGTCCCATCTCACAGCTGCTGCTTTTGCTGAGGACTGAGATGAGGTCCTTGGCTGAGAGCAAAGGGGAAGGCTGGGGGTCAGAGCCTTAAGGAAAGAGAAAGTCTGAACAGGAGGCCGACTGGCTCTCAGGGTCACTGCCTTGGTCCTGCTCCTGCTTCTACTCAGACACTGCCATCCTGCAGCCTGTTTCCAGCACAGCAGCCTGACGGAGCCTCTAAAACAGTGAGATGACATCACTCCTCCACCTCAAACCTTGCAGTGGATCCTCACATCACTGGCCTCCCTGCCCTTCCCCCTCTAACCTTGGCTCCTGTTTCCTCCCTCCAGCCATATGGGCTCCAAGCAGTTCTACAAGCACCAGGCATGCTTCTGCCACAGGGCCTTTGCACTGGCTATTCCTGCTACTGGACCAATTTCTCTTTGGCTGGCTAATTCTGTCGTGGGGCTGTCCTGTGTATTGTAGGATGTTTACAGCCTCTCCCTTCTGGGTGCCAGTAGCACCCCCACATACACGCAGTTGTGACAACAATGTTGGCAAAAGTTCCTTGGGTAAGAGGCAGAAGTCACCATGGACTGAGAACCACTGGCCTAGAACGGGCTTTCCTTAGATACCCACCGGCCTCCCTGCCTCACCTCTTTCAAATCTTTGCCCAAATCTCCCCTGCTCAATGAGGCCCTCCCTGACCACCTCACTTAATCCCAAATCTGTCCCCGGCTCCAGATTCCTGATGCCCCATCCTGTCCTTTTCCCTTTTGCCATAGCAGTGGCCACTTTCTCACATACTACATGGTTTACTTATTTCTTCCAGTTATTATGTGTTTTCTCCCATTACAATGAAGCTCCCCAAGGGCAGGGGACCTCACACTTTAAATTACTGATGTGTCCTAAGTGGCTAGAACCGTGAGTGGCATATAGCAAACAGAAAATAAATATTTTGGAATGCCTTAATAAACTCAAGGACCTCAGGTGGCCGGGTGCTGTGGAGGGCCTAGCTCAGGCTGGTGTGGGTGAGCTCACGGGGATTCTCGTCCTTTGAGGTCACCTGTACTATGAGAAGACGTTACACATGGTAAGCAAGCCCCTTACTTACCAGAGGGCCAGAACATCCTTGGCTCTCTGTGTCCCCCTCACCCAGCTCAGTGACAGGCATGTAGCAAAAATGGTTTGTAGAATGAACTGTGAAGACCAAGTTTGGGGTGGGTTGAAGGGTCCATAATCATCAGAGGTGGAAACGGACAATGGAATGAAGGCAAGCGTCACGCACAGGGAAGTGTCCCGGGAAGCAGCCCCAGGCTGGGTAGCGAGAGGTAGGGGCGCTTCCAGACACGGGGAGGGGAGGAGGGCCTGGCGGGGACCCGGCACGTGGTCAGAAGGTCTCCGATGGTGGGATCCGAGCTTTGTCAGCATTCTGTGCTCTGTGGGTGTCATTCTCCCATTTGAGAGGTAAGCTTTGTAAGGGAATGAGCCAGCGCTGGGACTTCTCCAGCACTTTAATATCCTAATTATTCATGCCCTTTCTCAATCCAGCAGAGGATTTAAGGTATTTAAAAGAATACACGAAGCAAGGGAGGGGATAGCTCAGTGGTAGAGCGCATGCTTAGCATGCACGAGGTTCTGGGTTCAGTCCCCAATACCTCCATTAAAATAAATAAATAAATGTTAAATAAATAAAACCCAATTACCTCCCCCTTCCAAAAAAAAACCCCAAAATAAAATAAAATAAACACATGAAAAAAAAGAGAATAGGGGGGTTGGAAGGGATAGACTGGGATTTCAAAATGTGGAATAGATAAACAAGATTATACTGTATAGCACAGGGAAATATATACAAGATCTTATGGTAGCTCACAGAGAAAAAAATGTGACAATGAACATATACATGTTCATGTATAACTGAAAAATTGTGCTCTACACTGGAATTTGACACAACATTGTAAAATGATTATAAATCAATAAAAAATGTTTAAAAAATAAAAATAAAAATAAAATCTGGTAAATAAAGAAAAAAAGAAAAGAAAAAAGAGAATATATTAAAAGTAGAGAAAGGACAGTTTCAGGGTGAGGAGTTGACTGCAAAGGGAGGGAACTTTCTGGGTGTAGCAATGCTCTTTCTCTTGATTTGGGTGTTGGTACATGGGTGTCTACATCTGAGTTGTCAAAACTCGGCCAGTTGTATGCATAAGATGTGTGCATTTCACTAGATGTAATTTTACCTCAATAAAGCACAGAAAGGGGAGGAGGAAGGAGAAAGCAAGATGGGACCATCTCATGCCGGGAAGATGTGTGAAATTTTAAAAACTGGGGACTGTGATGCCCTGATGGCTTCGCGTTGGGGGAGGGGCTGCAGATCTGCTCTGAACATCCCAGCAGCTGATACAGGGAGGGGGGACTCAGTCAGTGACATGGTTCTAAGGGTCCCTGAGATAAACAACCAAGCAGTTGCTCAGGAAAACTCCTTCTGCTCTTGGTATTACAATCAGTATCATGGAGGAATCTCTCCTGAGATCCTCCTAGCAGAGTGGATAAAGAATGACCTCCTCACAAAGCTTTAAGAACAAGAATCATGGGCAGTTCTCGAAGAGACCCTCCTACCAGGCAGGCTGCGGCTTGGCATGGAAGCCCCTCTGGTAGACGCAGCCCTGCCCTCTCTCAGACGCTCAGCTTCTGGGGTTGGCCTGGGCTGTCTCAGGAGAGCGAGAGTCCTCAGAGGGGCTGAGCAAGCCTCCCTGACCCCGTTTCCCTTGCAGAGCTGGGAGCCTGACAAGTGACTGAGGTGGTGATGGAGGCACCAGGAAGCCCCCATGGTTGGTGGAGCACGGATACAAGAGGAATGCGGTTCACAGGCTTTGAGGAGAGTTGAGGGCGTGACAAGGACTCAGGCCTGGGCAGGGAGCCCCCCCCCCCGCCCCAAGCCTGTCCTGGAGCATTAACAGGAGGGTGACCATCCATCCACATTGCCTGGGACTGAGGTATTTCACGCGACCCTGGACCTTCAGTGCCAGGCAAACAGAGATGATCTGGTCACCGTAGAACGCAGTTCCTTCAGGCAAAAACCGACCTTCCTTCAAAAGGACTCCAGGGAGCCCAGTAGGGACCAGGCAGCTTCAGGGAGTCTGAATCTGCAGAGACAGGCTCGGAGCAAGCAAGTAGGTAATACTTGAATGGGAGGTTGGGTATCGCATTACAAAGAACCTATCCAGTTAGGTGCAGAGAGTCGGGGGATAGTCAGGGAAGGCATCATTGAGGAAGGTAAGTTTGATTTGACATGTTAAGACTGAGTAAGAATTAGCAAGGCGTAAACCCTTACCTTTACGGTCAACCAATTTTTAATAAGGCTGCCAAGTCAACTAAATTTGTTTTCCACAAATGGTGCTAGGACAACTGGGTTGCCATGTGTAAAAGAACGAAGCTGGATCCCCACTTCACACCATATACAAAAGTTAACCCCAAACAGATCATAGATCTAAATGTAAGCACTATAACTATAAAACTCTTAGAAGAAAACGTACCCCTAAGTCTTTGTAACCTTGGATTAGGTTGAATTAGGTGAATTGGGTGAATTTTGTTGGATATGAATTATATCTCAATAAAGCTGTTATTTAAAAAGAGAAGGAGAGAGTTCCAGTTTCCTGTCTGGGATGTAAGGAGCTTGGAAGTTGTCACTCCATCCTAACGAGTAGAAAGCTGAACAAACTGAATCAACAACTTTTCTTAGATCCACTGGAGAACTGGGGTCACAGGGTAAACCACTGCCCCTGCCCCTAAACTGGAGAGACAGACGGGGCAGGTAGAAAGAATGACAACTTACCCGGGCAGAAACACGTGAACGGAAACCTCCAGTGGAACACCATCAGGGCAGGAAAATCCAGTGATGATCGGAGAATTGCTGGAGGCTCGGTGTGGACAGCCTGAGAGTTTAAAACTCTGAGTGGGGCCAGTCTTAGGGGGAGTGGTCCATTTTCTGAGTTTTACCTCCTGGAGCTAAACCCCAGGGTCTTAACGGTGAAGATCAGAGAAAAACCTTCATCTGCTTCTGTCAGGAGGAGGAAAAAAAGCCATTTTGAAATTTACCCAGAGCCTCCTGTTCTTAACAAGTCTACCCTCAAGAGAAACTATTTTACCAGAGCCTAAGCCACCTGGGAGAAGGGAGATACCCAGCTCCAGCCCCCTCTAACAATCCTGCCCCACCTAATGGGACGAGAACACTGAGAAACACCTGCAAAGCTTACAGCCCAGAGGCACAGGCTCACTAAAACATTGAGACCTGCTCAGAGGCCTGGAGAATGCTTCAAGCTCCCCCAAACCTCAAGGCCACATCACTGAAGGCCTATTTATAGCAGTTCCTTTTACCCAGTGCATCTTGTCTGGCTTTGAACAACAATTTACGAGGCATACTAAAAGTCAGAACAGTTTGAAGAGACAGAGCAAGCATCAAAACCAGACTCCGATACGGCAGAGATGAAAATTTAAAACTGTGGCCGGCACCTGGAATCCTAAAAGGCTCTCCTTTTCTGCTTCCAATTAGGAATCACGTATGGTGTTGCAATTTTGGAAATTTTGAGACAAAATAGACCAAATCAAATTTTCGGTGCCTTCACAACATATTCTCAGATGTAATCGTAAACTTGGGAAATGTAGGGCCTTTCACTGGGTTTGTGATGGTCCTGTGTGGTAATAGGGCCTGATGTGTCTCAGGTGGTAAGTCAGAACTGACAAACCTTGGAGGGTCCATGGGTGTTGGGTCAACTGTCAGGGTGATGTGGCAGGTGTGGGGCGTGGCAGGGGCGTGGCCTTCCCAGGGTCATCCCTCTGCTTCTCAAGTTCCAAATGGTGTTCCATGTGGTTCACCAATCAAGGATTTTTTAGAATTTTGAGGCAGCTGAGGCATTTAAAGTTTATGTGAGTCTCCTGTTTCGTTTTCTCTGTTATGCTGTCGAAAGTAGAGCCATTGGGAACATGATCAGACTTCCTTTCTTGGATGAAGATAAATAAACGTGATGATAGAGGTCACGCTTGTTTCATTCCGGATCTTAAAAAGGAATGTTTCTCC